ACCTAAGTTTAGTTGCATGATGTTAGTAAAAGAATGAGAATAAACAAGACATTGCCAAAATTGATTATATAGTATTTGGTAGCAGAAATGTTTTGCTGACTCCAGTGATGAGTTGAGCAGATCACTGAGACCAAATTACTGTGTTAAATCCGAAGATCTATTGTCTTAGTTTGATCTGACTCATCACATTGTTTTCATGAGAAAGAGAACAGCGACTTCAGGGAAGTACTGCATGTGTTCCATTTTCTGTTTGGATTGAAGTTGCTCAGTGACTTGTTCAGTCACACCTGGAGTACGGCCTAATTACACGGTCAAGTGCTGCTGAGAAACATCTAAAAAATTCCAATGGCCCAGAACAGAGCAGCCAGATGAGCTCTTCATTATTTTCTCTGATCCAATGTGGCTGTGAGATACATAAACGATTATCATGGCTCACTGTGGGGGCTAAATTAACAGATGTTATGTTGAGCTGATTGAGGACACCATATCCCCGCTGGCCACAGATATAAATACTGTTGATTAAAATCAGAACTGTTGACACACTGACTGGGGGCAGGAGAGGATGATAACAATATGTCAAATCTAGTATAGTCTAAATACTTAATACAAATAGATTCCTTTAGAGCCTAAAATAGCTTGCCTGTGTCATCACTAATACAGTCACTTTAAATGATGTGTTACTTTTGCAGTGACAAATAGTGTTTTCTGGGGAAAAAAATTCCAATTAGTTATAATATTATTGTTGAACCATGTTAAAGTTTAAATTTGACAAATATTATAATTATCATAAGTGCTGTTCAAAATGATATGATTTTTTTAGGGACAAAAATTAAGGAAGATTGAAAACGCCTCGTTAAAACAAATCAAGTAAGTGAATCACACTGCACACAATGATATGTATTTTCTTTTTAATTTACGCATTTGTTACGATAAGGCTTCATGAAAATATCTGTCAAAAGAAGCTGTACCCAAAGACACTGATTCTAAATGAAATACATTCTAATTTTACCTTTAGGCCTTCAAGTAATTTTAGCCTCCTGCCTTGTGGATATATTAGCATTAGCTGACATAGGTTAACTAAACTGTATTTTTATTTTTTATTTTTAAGTGAACACTTGCTATGTAGCTGCAGTGCAAACTGTCTCTAAAACTGCAGTAGGTCAATTACAAATGTAAGTGAACTCAATATTGAGTAGTAGAGCCCCTCAAGGCCGACAGGAAAGTATTATAATATAAACGTCGGTCTGTCATGTTCATGGACATTAACAGTAGTTAATGTCAGTGATGATAATGCTGCCTTTACATTGTTTATGGTGGATGATACAGGAAGAAAGGATTTCCATATTTTTTGTTATATGAAGGTTAAAGTACTATAAATTGAACACCTTATCTGTTCAATTCAAAATAACATTGATAGAATAAAGCACATACAAGAGCACAAATTTTAAAGGAAATTCACAACAAT